CCCACCACTCGTAGGCACTCGTGCCCGCACACCACAACCCCTTCACCGATAGTTTAGTGCCGCACCAAAAACGGTTAGTCAGTTGGGAGAGGGTTTGCCTCCAATCAGCCTTTGGGTGTACTCTTAGGTCCAGTGGTATTGTCCGACTATTAGACTGGTCGTTGTTAGGCCCACACAAACACGTGGTTATCAATATTGTAAGTATCAGTAGTGTAACTAATTTTAAATACATTTTACTAATTCATTTAGTCAATCATATAATAGATGTTTTTAGTTTTAATTATTAATATTACATTATTTGTTGTGATATAAAATGTAATAACATTTTGTAAACTTAAACGGCATTTATGTTTTAATAATGTAAATACAGTGCATGTGATAACAATAAACAGTTAACATCTTAACTACAGTAATATTAGTTTTGATATTGTATTAAAATGAAAATACTATTATTTGACGAAAAACCTAATTAATATATAAAAATTGTAATATTTTCTAATTATATTAGAGTTTTGATTTGATTTGTTATCATTTGAAAGTGAAATACAATTCATAATATTTTTACATTGTGTTGCAATGAAATGAAGTGTTTTATAAATTATTTTGTAATATAGAGATAATCTCTTCAAATTATATTACACTTGTTTTAAAGACTAGCGAAAGACACTCATAATATTTAATGAATTATTGATACTTATATTGAAATGAAATGTTTGAAATATATCAAATATGTATTGTATATAAAAACACTAAATGTAATTGGATTATTATGAAAACCAGCTATTGTTGATAATGATTCTAATAAAAGGATACTTTACTTTACTTTACTTATATTTAAATGTATTGCTAAATATATTATTAATAATAATAATTTATTATATATTTTTTAAACATTTACTCCCAGATATGGGATTAATTTTCATTTCTATGTACATCAAAATTAATTATTTATAATAAAAATATAATTGTCATAAGATAAATATCACTAATTATTTAAATAATAATGATTAAAGCTAATATGCATAAAATGTAGATTATACTGTAATTGGAATGATTAATGCTGTATTTTAAAAATATTGAATAATAATTACTACCTCTATTTATATGATTCACAAAGAATTATTAACTGTGTAAATTTATATGTGTTATACTATATATTAAACTTGAGGTTCCTGTGTATGGATAGATGTGTAGAATATTCTGGTTTTAATGAACTTTTCGTAAACTAATATCAAACCAAATATGACAATCGCGCCCACAATGGCATAGCCCACGCCGATCCACACCTGTGTACTTGTGGCCAGACTTATAGGTGGCTCTGAATTAGGGTTGCCATCAATGTCTCCAATGAGTGGACACTGACCCGTGTTGGGTGAGATTTGTGTCCCAATATCAGTGTAAACAACGTTGAGATCAGTAATTGAAATCTCTATCACTTCATATGTGTTATGTGTTTGCAGTGTTATTATTGGCAGTGATTTGCAAAATATTTGTTCATTTAATGTGTATTTTAAAGAATAGTTTGTCAATTGATTGGTATCGGCTGTCAGACACTTATTGTTGCTATACTTATACACATCTGCCGTATCGGCGGTGGTCTGTGTTGGAGAACAGGTTTTCATTTGTTCTTCACTTTCGCTCTTATAATAGTCGACGAGTCGTACAAATGGGTACTCAAAGTGGATTGACTTCATCTCTATGTCACTCTCATTGATGTTTAAGCTATTTTCAAAATTAATAATTAATGTTTTCATATATAAGTTAATTTTCGTAAAACAGTACTCAATTATTTACTTGATTCTTACGAATGTATGATCGATCATATCGTAATAAATAATAATAGATTGCGCTTGGTTACATTTGCTCGGTTGGTACAGTTGTTTACTACTGTACTCTACCTGTTGTACAATACTATCGGTTGTATTGTATCTAAACATTACTTTCGCCATCAAAGCTATATTAAGGCATTTGTGGATTGGTTTAGCGCTCGTTGTGTCCGTTAGTATCTCGCTATTAATACTGGTCATGAGTGGCGGCGTTGTAATTAACGACTGTGTGTGGGGCGGGAGTGGAGGTCTGGGGGTTGTCAATGAGAGTATCGGCGGTAGTGTTGGTAAGGCTGGGGGTGGCGTTGGGGATGGCGTTTGGGGTGACGTTGTTGTTGTGGTGGTTGTTGTAGTAGTGGTCAGCGTGACCACCTCTAGGTTTAAAAATAGAGAACAGTTCTCTATTTGGACCTG